TTTTTTTTTTTTTTTTTTTTTTTTTGATTAGATTATAATGAATCTTGTTGTTTTAGAGAGAGATTTCAAGTTTTCAATACATGTATTATTTATTGGAGATGTCTCACGTGCTTGTGATTCATCAAATATGTTGGATTGTTATTAAATACTAGTTGCAACTATGTTTCAATTTCTTTCCCAGCAAATTTAATTTTCATGAAAACCAAAATCGACAGTTGATGGGAGCAGTCTCTAGAAATACCATTGTTCTAAATGTTGCTAGGCGCCCGTTAGGCGCTCGACCGGTGCCTAGCGCCTAGAGCACCTAGGTGGGGCCTAGTCGGGGCCTAGAAATCAATCTTATTTTTTATTTATTTTAACTACATACAAAATTAAATTATCTCAACATATAATAAATCGATACAAATGTTCTCAAAACCGGACCGGTCATCGAACCGGTAAAGCTACTGGTTCAATGGTTCACTGGTCGGACCAGTGGTTGAACCGGTCGAACCGGTTTAACTAATATATAATTTATTTATTTATTTTTTATGTATAATATATAATTATATATATTTATCATTAATTTTATAGCATATAATGACATTTTTCTAAATAAGAGTTGATAAATCAATATTTAAAGTATAATTTACCATAAACAATACCAAGTAAAGTTCACTGAAACAATAGGTTAATAATTCAATATCTAAAGCAAGACAGTCTAAATTACAAATACAAAGTATATAGTCATCAAACATCAAAATATATTCAATCCAACATTACAATTCATCAACCATCAAAATATTATCTCACTCTTTATTTTTTTAATTTTTTTCATCAATTTTTTTTTTTTTTTTTTTTTTCAGAACCGGTTCGACCGGTTGAACCGGTACCGGTTTTACCGGTTTTGAACCGGTTCGACCGGTTCGATACCGGTTCTTGCTCCCAACGACTCAAACATGCAAACCGGACCGGAACTAGGTCCGGTTCCCGGTCCAACCGGTCGAACCGGCCGGTCCGGTCCGGTTTTGATAACATTGATCGATACATCTAAGTTCAAATAATAAAATTAAAATATTTTAAAGAAAACATGAGAACAATATAATGTAATTAATATTTAAAAATTTTAAAAAAAATTAAAAAAAAAATTAAAAAATTGCCGTCGAGCCCGCCTAGGGTCGTCTAGGTCTACCTATTCCCGTCTAGACGTCATCTAACCGCCTGACTGCCCAGCTCGCCAAGGCTGCCTATGAGCGTCTAGGCCCGCCTAGGTGTCGCTTAGCCGCCTGACCGATTTTTTCTGTCGATTTGTACCAATCAAAGGCGCTCAGGTACCGCCTAGTGCCTAGGCCGATTTTTAGAATAGTGAAAAGTACTGAGGTAATAAATAAATAAAAAAATAATTGATAAAGATAAATTGAAACAAGAAATGATACCAGATCAAGCATGGGACAGTCGAATTTGTCTTCATAGGTAGGATGGAATTTATCCCATCTTTGGGTTACATTAATCTTAACACACGTGCCATAAAAGATTTTGGACATAATCAATTGACTAAATAGAAAATTAATGATTTACCTTAGTAATTATAATTTCATAAATTTTAATAAATTGATTGTTTTTCACTTTTTTTCTTGTATGAAGATATCAAAATACCCCAGGCATATGGGGTAAAGAACAAGTAGAAGCATGGAAGCCAATTGTTGAAGCAGTTCATGAGAAAGGAGGTATATTTTTCTGCCATCCAAGCA